CACATACCTTCCTGGGAAATATGAGGGCCCAGTCCCCTTACAGAAACTCAGAATAACCTTGAAGGCCTATCCCAGATTCAGAGTTCCCTAAGTGGCTGGCAGAGGCCTTGCTTATGACTGCACCACAGAACACCTTCTCCCTCTGCCCAGTCCTGCTTCCCTTCCTGGATGTTGTATCCCAGAACACTCCCCAGTGAATACCCTGACCATTCATCTCCACCTTAGAGTCTGATTTCTAGAGAATCTAATATGCAATATTGGGAAACAGAGTAAAGTTTACCTTAGGGGATGGATTTAGTTGAATACTAGACCAGAAGTCAGTAAATTATAGACTGTAGGTCAAATCTGGCCCACTTCTTGTTAGTGTAAACAAAGTTTTATTGGCAACAGCCACACTTATGTATTTACGCATTGTTGATGGCTGATTTTGCACTACAACAGCAAGTTGTCTCCTGCTGTGCCCTTCTCAGTGACAGCCCCAGGCAGAGCAGTTAAGGTGGTGGTGACTCAATGGCAGGCCCCATCTCCACTGCCACTATCAAAGGTGGTATCTGAAGACTGAGTTGTTAGTTGAGTAGTTGCTACAGAAACCATACGGCCCGTGAAGCCAAACACACATTCTCCCAATCTGGCCCTTCACAAAAAAAGGGAAAAAGAAAAGGTTGCTGATCCCAATTATAGATCATTAAAGAAAAAAAAAATCACATTTGTAAAATATCTTCTGGTTCCTCTAGTAAAAAGTCTTCATGGGATCAGAGTGGGAGTCTAATGCAGGCTTCTCTCCTTCAGGTAGGCTTGGCTTATGTGTGCATGGTTTGTTATCTTCCTTTGAGTGGTGTAAGTGAGATAAACCTCACTTGCTATTAATGTGGCAGTACCATACCACCTAAGTGTGAGTAGGCACAGTGCTCATTTGGAGACCTGGCAGGGATTTCTGCCTTCCAGTCATCCACATCTTTATTCACTAGTGATGCTAAACTCCACTGAGGACATCTCAGACCAATGCCACCAAAGCCTGTGCACTGACTGAAGGAGTTGCAACATGGGTCCACCATAGAACGTGAACGCAAAGAGGTGTGGACAGTGTATTCACTAATCTCTTCTTCGGTAGCATCTACCATCGTTGGAAGATTTTGCTCCCTCTACTTGGATATCTCAGAAATGGAGAAAAGCTTCAGATTTAAGCCACAGATGCACAATAAAATTGGCAGGAAGAAATGTGTCTAAGTCAATAGTGAGTCAGGCATGCACATCCAGTGAGTCAACATGGTATATTTCACAGACCACCACAAAGAACTGGATTTCAGGCTGAGGAGGATTTCTGAGCCAATACATTTTAACCGTATCAAATAATATGGCTTATTACATTTTTTCATAAATTAACGTGCAGTTCACTCTCCTAATAGTCTACCGCGGTAACTGGCAACCAAATACTAGTATTACTCCAGACGTTCACAAGCAGCAGCCTTCAGATACCACCTTTGATAGTGGCAGTGGAGGTGGGGCCTGCCACTGAGTCACCACCGTCTTAATTGCCCTGCCTGGGGCTGTCACTGAGAAGGGAACAGCAGGAGACCAGTACATAGCTCTAGCACCAACTGGCCACGTGGACTTGGGCAAATCATTTATTCTTCAAGCCTCATTTGTGTTGTCTGAAAAATAAGGATAATGATACTCTTTACAGATGGTTGAATGACTCAAAATAATGGATGCAGCCCAGGGCCTGGCGCCTAGGACTTCTACAACATATGTTGTGGTTATGAATAAGATGATGATGATGAAGATGATGATGGTGATGATGACAAGAATGGAGATTAAATTTTTTTATGATAGATGCGAAGATTTGTCCAATGCCCACCTACATGGTGCTATCTGAATGCTTACCAATAGTAGAGATGTAAAGACAAAATATACAGGGACCGAGGAGATGAGCAAAGAGAGAACCAATTCCTTAACCTTCAGCCCGAGACGAAAGCAGGTGCCCACACGTCTATTGGAATGCTATGTCTCAGTAGACACAGCTATTTGAATTGTATGATGTGCTTGTGTCTCATTTTTCCTAATCTTATCTTTTGGGTGCATATCCTGGAGGCTCAATCATGAATACAATTTGTAGAACTTTCTGTCCAATGACATAATGACTAGAACTAAAATTGCTTTGCCTCTGTTTGTAGAATCTCCCAGGCTGCACCCACCAAGCAGCTGAATGTCAGTAAGCCAGCCAACAGAAGATCCTGCTCATGAGGTATTTTGGAATCCTTCAGATAAAAAGAATCAGATTCAATAACTATGAAGTATGAAGACTGCTAATAGCATGTGTAACCACAGGAGGCTGTCAAGAATGTCTCAGATAGGATTCCAGTTCCACACAGGAAAATATAAACAGTTCCTCTGAGTTTTAATGAGCACTGCTGCAGTCTGAAAGCTCTTGCATTATGGCTAAAAGGTATTGTTGAAACTGAAGGTCAGCAAGCTCACCCTCCAAACGTCGTGCACATTGTGTGAGGACAGCCTGTGGTCATTAAAGTCAATAAGCTGTGCTGGTAAATTTCAGACCAGAATTCTACAGCATGGACAGATGTGCTTTCTTGTCACCTGAGAAGAAATAGAGTCCACTGGAAATTAGTTTCTGAGTGAGGGAGCACACAGCCAGGGGTACACGTGTAGGTGAGGGTGTGCATTTGTAGGCATCCGAGGCAAGTGCCCCACTGTGCACCCCAGGGCTCGGTGGCTTTGGACTTTGCGGCTGAAGGGCTCAGAATCACATGGAGCCTCTTTTCTTTGCAGAGTCCACTTTAGGCAAATAGAGCTGAAATTTTTTGAAGCTTGATAGGATCTCGAAAAACATCCAATCTAACCGCTGCTCTAGTTACCCAGATGAGGAGTTCAGAGAGTGTCACCCCTCCACATCCACTGAGCTAGAAATAACAGATCAGCAACTCTACAAAAAGGTGTTCCAAATGTGGTATATATACACCATGGACTACTACTCAGCCATTAGAAGGAATGAAATCATGTCTTATGCAGCAACTTGGTTAAAGCTGGAGGCTATTATTCTCAGTGAAGTAACATAGGAATGGAAAGCCAAAAACTGTATGTTCTCATAAGCGGCAGCTAAGCTACAAGTATGCAAAGGCATACAGAGTGATATGATGGGTTTAGAAACTCAGAAAAGAGAGGGCGAGAGGTGGGCCTAGGGATTTAAAAAAAACACATCAGGTGCAATATACACTACTTGGGTGACGGGTGCACTAAAATCTCAGAATTCACCACTGTATAATTCATCCATGTAACCAAAAACCACTTGTACCCCCAAAGCTACTGAAATTATTAAAAAGGTATTCAAGTCTCCCCTAGTCTCTGTGACTATCTCTTTCCTCAAATGGTAGAATGAAGCCTCATGGCTTAAAGCCACTCGCGAATCTCTGGGATATGTGCTTTTTCTGGGGAATGTTGGCCCATAGGATGTAGAATGAATTTACACTACTTGCCTAAGATAATCCCTTACAGGAGTAGTCATTTCACAAAATCACAATAAAAAATCTTCTCTGCACCACCAAAGCCAAAAAGTAAGTTGGGGGAAGTTTCCACACTCTTGTTGCCCTCCTCTGAGATGAGTGTTTGAGATCTGGCTCTTATTATTAGTGGAGAGCCTCTGGTGAAAAGTACTATAAATCCAAATTATTATTTCACACCATGAAACGTGGTTTAAAAAATGAGGATGTGCTTTAACTGGGGTAACACACAACAATGCAGTGGTATATTTCTGGAATCATCATCAATAAGGAAGATGAAGTGCTTAGCTTGAGCAATCTCTTTAAATACTAAAGTGGGATTTATCTTTGGAACACTGGTAGCTGCTTATGTTGTCCTTCTTGTAATAAGTCTGTAAGACATGCGTTTCAAAGATTTAATCAATCTGAAAGCCATATCAAAATTGCCTTAAAAATCTCTGAGCATTAAATATATATATACTTGTTAACATTAATTACATCATTTAACATTTCTATACACATTATAACTTTAAATGTTTTACAGTCATTTTTATTAACAAAGCTTTAATGAACCAAAGTTGTACTGTAAAATTATTATGCACATTCTGCATTTTCAATTGTATACTAATATCTTTAAATATCTTTTTCCAAATAGAAATTCAGTAATTCATAAACCAGAGCCTCTTGTAGAAAGTAAAAAGTTGAAAATCAGAAGTTTACACACAGAAAGAAAGAAATCTGGCCTCTTTCCTCCAAAAAAATGCCTGCTTTCCTCTTTTGATTTCCCAAGAAAGGTAAAGAGTTCTCAGGGCAGCCCACCTTGGGAATTCTGCCCGACCCTGGAAATGGCAGAAACAGCAACAAATCCTGGCCGAGATGCCCCAGAAGACACAACCAGGGGGACAGAAAATTGCTGCTGCTGCTACTATTTGGCACAGAGAATCCCTGACTTGCCTAATATAGAAAATGTCCTATAATTACTATACACGCACACACATACACATTCGCATGCACACATTCACACATACACACTCCATTATGAAGCTTTGCAGTCTAGCTTTTATATCAATGAGGCTAACTTGAAAAGCAAAAAGTACAGAAATCTGGACATTTCCAAATACACAGATGTTTGGCGAGAGAGATGAAACATCTGGGGGCGAATGGCATTTCATTCTTCTCACCCTCTTTTGGAAAGCAGTTTGGGCATGTTGCAAATTAACTTCCTTTGGAGGCTATCATTTCCTTCTCATTATATATGGTCTGGAACTATTGGGAACAAGAATTAGACAGAAGGCCTCTTACAATCTACAAAAGTGTCAACTAAAAAAATCTATCCAATCAGACATCAATGCTGAGCTATCAGTTGTCAACTATGAGCAGAGCAGATCACTGCAAGTCTACTGAGAAATGGCTCTTAGAGTAAGTTTTGTATAAGAAACTCACTCAACAGCACCTTGCTAGGACATTTACACAGGTCACCCTCCTGCAGATGCACACACCACTCACCTGCCCTGTAACTCCAGCCGGGAATGTGAATGGACAGTTGGTTGGCATGACCGCTGGCATGACAACGAGTTGCATGATCCTTTTCCCCTTTTCTTACAGTGACCTGGTTAGCTCCCACATTTGCCAATTCTGTGTTTTCCAATGGAAAAGAACCACTCCAAGGACATGCGCCGGTCCCTAAATGCACCCGCCCCAACGATGGGGTTTCCTTCAAGTGACTTTCTTGTAAACCTGGGTTCCAGCGCTGGCCTACGAGGTCCTGGTCTCTCTCCACCAGCTCCTGCTTCAGGGCTCCGCTTATTGGCTCCCTGTTCACTAGGCCATCTACTCCATCTGCTGTCAATCTGTGGGAACTACAACTGAGGTTGAGCGACAGGACGGATCTGTGCATTTTGGGGCTGGCAATTTGAGGTGGCTCAATGGGGACGGAGAGAGACTTGTCTACATAATAGATTGAATTTGGACACTGCTGAGACACCCTGAGGTGGACACAGGAACTGAACACCAGCGGGCTCTTTCCTGACAGTGGGGTGTCTGGAGAAAAACTGGTCCCTTTGTCATCCACATGAGTGACCCAGTACTTGCGTCTCTCACACAACCCTGTGTGGGCCTCGGGAACCTTCAGCCGCACCACGGAGCTGTTTCCGGAGAACTCTGTGCAGGCAAAAGATCTCTGATGCCGACCTGGATGGGTGCCATTGGCCAGAGCTGGGGGCGCCTGTAACAGTGTGTCCTCAGCCCTGCACTTGGGGCACAGAGAGTCCCCAACAGTCCCCCACAGCAGGGCACTGGCTGGGGGGCCCACGCGTCTGGCCGTGATGGTGATGGATGCAAACCCTCTGCGGGGACCCCCACAGGGGCTCTCCTCTTTGGGTGGCAGCTCTGTCTCAGGTCCTCGCTCATCTGACGGTGCTGGGATTCCTAATCTGCCCGGAAGTAACGCAAATGCCCTGTGAATGTTGACTCCGCTGCGATTAGCCAGAGATTGCTTGGTGTGATGTGCACGAGCCTGACCAATCGTACACGGCAGGGGCAAGGAGGTCCTGTTTTCTCTCGGCTTATTCTCATCAATCATCTGGGAGATGACTAAGGATGAAATCATTTTTGTGTTTTGTGATGCCAGGGTCTCCTGCAAATAGAAAAAGATTCCAATTATTCAAGCAGTCTGTTGAAACACAGACAGTAAACTCTCTTTCAAGGGCTACCAGGATGCTGGAGCCCCTGGTTCATAACACTCAGAAGTCTTGTCCAAGGCTTTTTACTGCACACCTGACGCTCAGAGATGTCAGGAAAGGCAGGAAAACTAGATGTTTATGACAAGTTACATGTTCTGGAAACATTGGCCTGAGTCATGAATTGGTTTTCTCTGCTGGGCATCTATTCTTAATTTATCTAATGATGTGTCAACGGGAATCATCTAATTCTGATAACCACCTCCACCAAGCCCAGGAGCCCCCAAATACAGGCTCGCATCCTCAATGGAGAGGAAAGACAGAATTCTGGAGGTGGGCTGGAATGTGGGGCCGCAGGTTCATGTGGGAGATAAGTCAGCACTCCTGAAAAGAAACAGCAGTGGTGGTTACCAGGAGGCCTCTCCCTACCTTGGTCCTTTGCAGTCCTCCACATTTGCCGGTTTAGACTCTAATTCAGTTGCTCCCTGCTGCTTGGCATCATGGAAGTCAAGGTCCAGAGAGCAAAACAATAGAAATCAAATGCCCAGACAGGCATGGTGGCTCACGCCTGTAATCTCAGCACTTTGGGAGGCCGAGGCAGGCAGATCACCTAAGGCTGGGAGTTTGAGACCAGCCTGACCAACATGGAAGAACCCCAACTCTACTAAAATACAAAATTAGCCGGGCGTGGTGGCACATGCCTGTAATCCCGGCTATTCAGGAGGCTGAGGCAGGAGAATTGCTTGAACCCGGGAGGCAGAAGTTGTGGTGAGCTGAGATTGCATCACTGCACTCCAGCCTGGGCAACAAGAGCGAAACTCTGCGAAACTCACACACACACACACATGAAAAAAAAAAAAAAATCAAATGCCCACGTTTGCCCAGACCAACACTATGGCAATCAGTTGATTTCACCTATCAGAATTGGGGGATGGGGACACTGGACCAAGGCACATGTAGCTTTGCTGCATTTCAATGATCGGTTGCATGAGTTTTTGTCCAATATTTTTAAATGACCAAGGTGTTTCATTTTTCCTAATCAGCAGATTGTCCTAATGGTAAATTGCTCATGTAAATTCCAAAAGAGTGTGCTATGATTTTTAACAAAGCATCTAACCAGGTCTGTACTCATTTGTTTCTATTATGGTTATGTATGAAGCACTACAAAATACAACATGGAAAATGGACTGCACCCCAGCACTTAGTGAAGGCTAACAGGGTCCTGGCCTCCGTTTAGACATTCATTACGGTACATGCTTACAATGAATCCTTGCATAGAACTGCACAGGATTTGGAATGATGTATGTATCCACTAAACTCCCACTGCTGGCAGATAATCTTTGCTTTGGGGGCCTGAGGGCATAACTGGATGCCCAACAATTGCCACAGCAGCTCCCAAATCCCAACATGCAGAGAATGGCCTGGGATGTTACAAGTACAGGTTCCCCAGGCCCCGAGACTGATTCTGTAGGTGGTGGGTGGCACCCAGGCATTTGCATTTCAACTGACATCCCGTGATTCTGATGTAGGTGATCTGGGTCGCATACTTTGAGAAACACAGACAAGTTGTGAGGCTGCTGGTCTTCTCAAGACAACACATTTTGGAGAGGAAGGGCCTGTGTATGTTGGAAGCAGGGTCTTTGCTCATTCCAAGAGGCGACAGCAAGCACAGTAGCATTTTTATTTTCTTCAGGGCAGGACTAATATTTGCTGACTCAAATAACTGCATGTTTCCCACTAGCTGGACATTTGGCATGGCAAGTCCACATGGCTGCAGGAGGGCCAGTGTCTGATCTTAGCTGCCTGAGGGGCTCTGTATCCTTAGAGTCAGGCATGAGAAGATGGTTGGCTTGTTTTGCATGACAATCTCCATCACATTATATGTGTTTTTTTTAAAAAAAAAGATACATGGGAAGTTGTACATTCAAAAGATACCCAGAGATGAGCAACAAAGAAGAAATAGACAGGAGAGTCCATTTAAAATTTACTTCATTTAAAAATAAATCAAAATATCCCTGGCTACTATTTTTCCAAAAAAAAATGGTCAATGCAGTAGCACCGAGTTATGAAAGGGGACATTCAGCTCTTTCTTTTAGCCCAACGGTTACCTCACACTTCCAGATCATATCATGCGTTGCTTCCCTGAGGCTAACTCCTGTCAGGTGGGGCTTCCTCTCTAATAGTTGTCAGCCCAGGGTTCATCAGTCACCTGGGAACTCATCCAAACCCCAATGCCCAGGCCTCATTCCCAGATAATTACATTGGAATTCCTGGGCAGGGAGGCCCAGGCATCAGTGCTCTTAGAGTTTCCAGTGACATTCCAGCCTGCAGCCCCAGCACTTCTGCGGCACCCTGAATCCTTTCCACTTGTACCACTTTTTATGGATGTAGTTTACATACAAGAAAACTGAAATGCACCTGGTGCCTATTTCACTTGGTACACAGTCCCCCCCATGTTAGTTAAATTTAGTTCTGATCATAATTGCTCTTGTGTACCCTACGAGGAGTGCAATCATACCCAGTAGGAACTCCTTTGACACTGCTCTTTGAAGGAAAAAAAAAAAAAGACCCACTTTGGAAACTGCAGTGCAGGTCTTATTTTACAGGACAATGTTTCCCAAAGTTTGTGCCAGGGACTGCCTGCATAGAAACCACCTAGAGTGAGTGAGTGAGAGACAGAGAGAGAGAGAGAGAGAGAGAGAGAGAGGGGGTGTGTGTGTGTGTGTGTGTGTGTGTGTGTGTGTGTGTGTGTTGGTGGGGAGGACATGTTAAAAATGTAGATTTCTAGACCTCTCCCTCCTTGGACCTAGGTTGCTCAGGATCTGTGGGGATAAAGCTTAGAATTTGTGTCTTTCACCAGCTCCCAGGTGATTCTTCTGCATGGATATGGTGGGAAGGATGCCAGCCTAGGACTCAGGCCAGCTGGGGTCTAGCGTGAGCCGGGACTCCCATACTGGCTACAGGACCTTGGACAGGGCCTTTGGCTGTCACAGCTGCTAAGCAAGGAGAAAACAGGGGTGATTCTTGGGGGGGTCCTCCAGGCTTCCCCGTACTGTGGTCTCCACTATCAAGAGAGTACCTATTCTTCAGGCTCAGGACACCATGACACCTGTGAGCTTGGCATCAACGAGGGGTGTGTTGCTGGGAATGAGTGAATGTCATCTCATCCTGGAACGACAGGAATGGGAAATATCTGACACTGGCTACACGTCTGGACTAAACCCTGAAGCCACAGTCAGAGCCCAGGGCCGTGCATACTGAGGGATGCCCCCAGGCTGTGCTGAGAGGCTGCAGGCCTGTACATCCCTCCAGAAGATCCTAGAGGCCCAGAGGACGGGATAAGGAATTAGCCACCGTTTCATTAAGTGGGGCCTGGCAAGTGTGACCGTGATTTTTTGACTCTATGAGATGTGAATGGATGAGGGAAGAGCAATCATGAACGGCATGAACTTGAACTTATTTCTGAAGCCCTGGAGTCACTCAGGATGTCAAGGTGACACTGCTCCTGAGGGACAAATACTGATGAATGCCCAGTTCCAAAGAAAAATCGATTTGCCCTCTCAAGATACCAATGTGTGATGTAATTCTCCGGTACTCTTCCCATGACCCGGCAGAAACGAGTGGATATCCGACATAATCCAACCTACAGAGGAGTGAGGGGTGTTCACATCAAAGCGATACCATATTTCAGTGGAATTTACAATGGAATGCATTTGAGTTTACCTGAATTACATAAACAGAAATGACTCATTGTATATCCAATACATTGAAATTTTGTTGATAGAAATGTAGAAGTCATGTAATTTTTTAGGTGCAATTCTATTATTCATAACATACAGTCACGGTCAAACTCTTTAACTGTGCATTCCATGTATTTATTTGTGCACCTACTATGTGCCAAGTGCTGCATTTTCCCAGTGTGTAGTCTCAGCTTTCACAAAAGTCCCCAAACAACAAACTGGGAGATATTGAAAAGGAAACACTGGATGACTCTTTGCTCTTTAATACACAGGACACTCTTGTTTGGGAAGTTCTGTGTATTAAACCCTACTCTCAGTGAGACCCATTAAATGATTGAAGATAAGTGAGTTTGCCAGGGCTACCATAGCACCAAAGTACCACACACTGCGTGACTTAAACAACTGAACTGCTTTTCTCAGTTCTAGGAGCTGGGAGTCTGAGATCAAGGTGTCACAGGGCTGGTTTCTTCTGAGGCCGCTCCTTGGCTTGTAGACGGCCATCTTCTTCCGGCATCTTCACATGGTCCTCCCTCTGTCCTCTGCCCCCATGTGTGGGTCCTAATCTTTTCTTCTTATAAGGACACCAGTCAGATTGGATTAGGACCCACTCTAATGACCTCACTTAACCTTAATCACTTCTTTGAAAGATGCTACCTCCCAACGCAGTCACATTCTGAGAAAGCAGAGGATAGGACTTCAACATATAAATTTAGTGGGGGTTGGGGGGACACGATTCAGCCTCTAACACATCATTTTGTGTTGCATTCCTCTTCTGGGTCTCGGAAACCAAGAAGGAGATGAGATGGGGGGTTATTTAATGTTCCTAAATCAGCCAACTACTTCTAAAACTGGGCAAATTTTCTCTAGAAAGTAATTACCTCCTTTATGCCAAATATCTCCTCAAATGAAGCTATTTCAGGGCGACATTCCATCCTCCTTTCTACTGGGTTAACTAAACATGTCTTTACAAAGAGATTCCGTTCATCTAAAATAAAATTCACTGACATCAGATTTGATTTAAAAGGGGGATGAAAATCATCTCATATTTACGGTAGAACGTCCATGTTGGAGAGAGGTCAGATGCGTGGCTGGGTTTTGTCTCGGTTTGGTGAACCATCCATTTCCTGACCAGCACCACACAACACATTTTTCACATTTTCTTTCCCAGAGATGCTGCTTTAAGATATTGATTTCTCTTAAATGTTTCAAAGATGATTTTGTAGTGCTGGTAACTGTTTTCACAGTTTCATGCTTTTACTGACTGTTTTTAACTTTGTATTTATGCCTTGAGGTATTTCTAAGAAAGGCGTAATTTCATAAATTGAAGCCAGAAAGAGTTAAGTAGCAGATGATCAGAGGAATCGGCTCTTAAGACACTGGAGTGACGATACCTCCATTCCTGTAGCAATTTATTTCTTCAAAGAATAAGCCTCTCCTCCCATCTCTACCTTGAAACCTGAATTTTTCCCCATTGCTGCTCTGCAACCTATGCTGGACTTGCCCGAAGATTCTTTGGCCGCAGCTTCCCACAGAAGACTCTGCAGTCCTCTCCGCATTTGCTGCAAACCTGCCTTCCTCCTTTGAGTTGATCTGGAGCCACGGTCACTGTCAGCCTAGGGGCATTTCATCCTGAATGGAAGCGCATTTTCCAATGTATGAGCTTGCTCAATTATGTAGCAACTGGGGAAGACAGTTTAAAGACAAATGGAAAAATCTGATCTTTTCTCACTCTGCATCATGAAACTTTTGCCTTTCCAGGCAGTTACTAAAAACAAAGAACTTAATGCAGTGTGACATAGAACACTGAAAAGCCAGAAAGAATCTATTTTTTCCCCAATTTTTAAATTGTGGTGAGACACACATAACATTTACTATCTTAGTCATTTTTAAGTGTACAACTTAGTGGTATTAAATGCATTCATAATGTTGTACAACCATCACCACTATCCATTTCAAGAGCTCTTTTCGTCTTGTAAAACTGAAACTCTATACCCAGTAAACACTCACTTCCCAGTCCCTTTTCTCCATTCCCTCACAATCACCAAGAATCACTGTTTTTTTTTTTTTTAAAGGGGAGTGGGTAAGTAAATCATGACTGTACAACTGTATCTTATATTCTGCAGAAATTAAAAATACAAATTACAAATAATTTAAATGACATAGGAATTGCTTATGATGGGATATTATAAGAGAATAATACAAGAGAGCTACAAAAGTTAAATTACATCACAGTCTTATGTTAAAATGCATGGGGAAAATAGAGGAAAATGTGCAGATAAATATTTTCTTATTTGTTTCCATATTTTCCTATTTCTGCATGGGGTTGCTCTTACTTTTATTAAGAGGAAAATTTTAAAAAAATTTTTTAAGGAAGAGAACTCTGTTCTATATTTACTCCTTTTAAGTAATCATGTGGCAGAAAAGGTGACTTCCTATCATTGCTACAGCTTGAATGCATTTTGGAAGGGAAAATGATCAATCTTGTGGGGGCCCTGGAGGAGAGGCGGAGACTTACGGCAGCCACAGTCGCAGGGCAGCAGGGCAGTCCCTGGCATGTTTCATCATCTTATGGCAGCCTTCTAGCACACGCCCAGGGGCGAGCTCTAAACATTCCAAGTTAGGAGGAAAATTTGAGTCACCTACTGACCAAATTAGATGATCCAGATGATGCCAGAGCAGGTGGTCAGAAGGTATAATTTCCAGAGTTATTGAACTCAGTCACAGATAATGACCAAGCATGAGATCGAAAGGGGAGAGAGAGAGAGAAAGAGAGAAGTCTCTGTGTGTGTGTGTGTGTGTGTGTGTGTGTCTGTGTGTGTGTGTGTGTGTGTTACAGGGATGCAGCCACATAGCCACAAACATGGACACCAACATTAGTGACTAAATGATTAATTTGTAACATCAATAGGAGAATGCTGAAATTTGCCAGCTCAATGTGAAAAACAGGTGACAAAGATCCTTAGTTGATATCTGTCTTAAAAAAAAGTAGCAGTGGAGCTCAGTGGGATTGCCCCCACGCCCTTCCCTGACTCGATCTCTCTCCTCCTAACTGGCATCTCCACCTAAGGACGGCTCTCAGTGATCCACTGCTCTTTCCACCCATTTTCCTCCCCAAACCCAGGGCTCTGACTCCTGCTCTGAGGGAGCAAATTAATTACAGCCATGCATCTTTACATCTGGAGACAGTGAGCTTGGTGCTTTCACATAGAAAGGGCTTTAAATATTGATGAGTAAATCTCAGGACCCCAAATAACTTCCTTTCTCCATCTTGTGGGATTTCAAGTCCCAAGTCTCTGAAGGAAATGTTGAGCTTTATTAAATACAGAGCTAAATCAAAGTAACACCTAACACAAGCATTTTGGGTAAAAAAATATTTAACAGATATCTTTGTTACTTTAATCTGTTATGAGAAAGTGATTCTTATAATTTCACTCTCTCTTAGAACCACAAAAATTGGTGGCAGAATCTCCATTTGTGACAGATAGCAGAAGCCTTGTAAACTGTAACATCTTGGACAGTTTTTTAAGGTGAGAAAGTCCATACTGTAAATCTTGTTAACTCAAAAGAGACTTCCACCACGACAGTCCTTTAGACCAAGCTCAGAACAAAAACTCCAGAGCCAGGCAGATTATACGAGCTGTGAGATTTGGGGCAAGTCACCTACTGAAGCTATAGTTTTCTCATTTTTAGGTATTAATATAAGAGCAGTACCTGTCTCATGGGGCTATGGGAAGAATTAACTGAATCAGTCGATTAGTCAGAGCCTGGTATATGATACATTGACAATATTAACCACTGTGCACCAAGCTTTTTTGTTCCCTACAATCTGAAATATTTCGTTTTATAAATATGACCTCTGATTTTCTTCCCTGTTCAGACCACTGACACTTTTTGCAGTTCTAACAACCTATACCAGCTTGTTAGATTTCAGAGTATCTCTTTCGCATCTTCAAAACGCTGTATGGCATCATTCTCCCTCTCTTTCTATCTCTCTCTCCAGCAGATAAATTTTAGTTTAAAATTGAGAGCAATTGCCGTATTCTAAGATGCTGCAAGCTTACAAATTGTTGCTGAAGATGATAAAAGAATAATTACATCTATAGCGTGGTTAGATTGTTTGCCACATTAATTCAATTTTTGACTAAATAAAATAAAACGCAATCACATCACAAGTAGGCCAGTGATTATGTTTTATAGATGGGTGCATTTTGCTGACTATTCTAGAAGTTAGAAATGTATGTTACCTTGGTGAAGTCAGATTTCCCCTCTGTGACATCAGACTGGAGATTTTTAAGGGCAATTTGATCGCTTGTACTGTGGTAGTTGTCCCGTAATCCTAGGCAAAAGGAGATAATATTGCTACTTTTTAGTAGATAAAAGGATAAAATGGAATATATAACTCTATTGTAAAATTTAATGTCACCTACTCACATATTCTATCAGCCAATAGTAAATCCAGGATAGTCTAACCATGACAAAACCTTGTACATTTCTCTTATTCCATCCCGTCCATTTAACCTCTCTGGGTTCGTTATTAGTTTATTCAGCTGCGAGATTTCTTCCATACGATCGTTTGTGTTCTTTAGACTCAGTCACAATTACACAATTTTAGGCCTATCATATTCACCAGCGTCCCAAGTTTATACTCAGCAGAAGAGAGATTCACATCTATAGATTTCCCAACATCACTAGAGCTAAGAATGAGTGAAATACAAAACTGACCTTCATTCAGCCTCTTAATGCAACCATTATTGGAGGGGTCATGGATGACTCAGAAACTGATACGAACACTGTTTTAGACCCTCTGAGGATAATTTAGTGATCATATCATGAGACACTCTACGTAAAATCCCCCACATGTGCCTCTCTGTGACTGTCTGCCACAAAGATAGCTAAGAATATTGTCAGGTCCAGCTGGACGGAGCAGCAGACTGGAGGAGCGGGATTCTAGTCCTGGATCCCCCAAGCACTGGCTTAATAACAGTGGACATATCTATGGATCTACTCTGCCTGAATTCCTCATCCACCAAACCTGCACTGAGTGCCTCACGGAGTCCTGGGCAGAAGCTTTCTCTCAGATGCAAGTCAGCAGTACTACAAAGTCTACCCAGGGCTTACACCGCCTTACGCTACAGACCCTCAGCAGCCGCAGTCCCCCGAGTCTCTAAAAGTCACCTTTGTCAGGTCGCTAATGTAGAAACATGAACCAAACACAGGGAGATGGTATGAGTGTGGAAGTGGGAAGCAAGCCCAGGAAGAGGCCCATTTTCTGCAGCCCAGGGTAAGCACTGTACCTCTGCACTGGAAATGCTCTAGGGAAGGTGATTTTATAAGGGGCTGTAATAAATGGCTCCCCAGCTGCTAGTGCAGGTGATGAGAAAGAAGAGATTTATGAAAGCAGCTCCCTAAACTAGAGTCCTGCCTTTATCAACTCATCAAAAAGGTTTATGAACATTTTAGATATACAGTCACGCACTGCATGACAACCTTTCAGTCAGTGAAGGACTGCATATATGACAGTGGTCCAATAAGATTATAATGGAGCTGAAAAATTCCTATCACCTACTGACACTGTAGCCATCAGAACATTGTAGTATAATTGTTTGTTTAAATAAAAGTAGTGTAGCCTAAGTGTGCAATGCTCGTAGTCTACAGTAGTAGACAATACTGTCCTAGGCCTCCCCATTCACTCACCACTCACTCACTCACTCGCTCATCCAGACCAACTTCCAGTCCTGCAAGCTCCATTCACGGGAGTTGTCCTATACAGGTAGCCCATTTTCTACCTTTTAGCCTGTATTTTTACTGTATCCTGTTTATGTTCAGATATGTTTAGATATACAAACGCTTACCACTGTGTTACAATTGCCTACAGTATTCAGCACAGTCGCACACTATACACATTTCTAGTCTGGGAACAATAGGCCATACCATACAGCCTAGGTGCGTAGGAGGCTATACCATCTAGGTTTGTACATTCTACAAGGTTCGTACACCAACAAAATCCCCCAACCACATTTCTCAGAACATATCCCCATCCTGAAGCACTGCATGGCTGTAACTTAAAGAGTTTTATGAGGAAAATAATGTGCTCTAATATTTTCAAGTTTGGCAGATTTGCAGAAGGGTCAGGACACAGCTCGAGGGAATTTCAAGGGCCACCATTGACCTGTCGAGAGCCTGGCTGTGTCTCATCTTGTCCTTGGGTAACAGTGAGCACCATCAGCTCTAATTCAGATGTGGGGCTGTGCCTCCATCTATGACTGCTATTGAGTGACAGAGACAGTTATCCAAGATGATGTGCACAGATTACTTTTTGTGAAGCACAAATATAAGAGCTGAAAGGTCTTTTGGATTCCTGTGCAGAGCTGATGCATCATGATGAACTGACAATAAAGCTGATGAAGACAGAAATCCTGCTCTGGTCATGTGGCATCGCATGTGGTTAAGAACTTTGGAGTCAGCACAGGCTGAGGCTAGACAGGTCTGGGCCTGCAGGTTTGGCCCCAGGCCGACCTACAGTGGATGGGCTGTATACCCTCTCTGAATTTCTTCTTTCATAAAATGCATGCAATAACACCTCCTGCAAAAATGCTGCCTTGCCATCAGTGCACTGAGGATACTGAATGGAAAGCATTTGGGCAGAGTGGGGTGTGGAGTTAATGTTTTATAAATGACACCAGTTATGATTGGCAATGAGCAGGATCAAGGCAGCCCTCCCCAAGACCCAACTGGTCGCTATCACTGTGGCATCAGTGGTCAGGAAGTCGCTGGAATCACACCACAGAGTCCCAGCACCTGAATCCCAGATCTGGTTACTAGTGTGGCTTTGAGCAAGTTACTCAGCATCCTTTGGTTCCTCACCATGAGATGAAGACAATAAGGGTATCTGCTTCAGAGGGTTACTATAAGCAATTAAATGACATAACTACCCTTAGTGCAACGTTCAGAACATAACAACATGCAGCAAACACTAGCTTTGGGGAGATGCCTTGTCTCCAGCAGGGAGGCGGAGGAACTGCCATGATCAGATACACAAAGGCTGGGCACGAGCTGCCTGCGGTTGCTATGACAATTGACCACAAATTCAGGGCCTACACAACACCAATGTGGTATTCTCCAGTTCTAGATGTCAGAAGTCCAACCTGGCCTCACTGGGCTAAAATCAAGGTGGTGGCAGGGCTAGGTTCCTTTCTGAAAGCTCTGGGGGAGGATTCTTTTCCTTGCCTTTTTCAGCTTGTAGAGGCTACCTTGGCTCACAGCCCTGCATCGCTCAAACTTCTGCCTCCAATATCACATCTCCTTATCTGACTCTGACCCTTCTTCCTCCCTCTTGTAAAGACCCTTGGATTAGATTGAGCCCACCTGGAAATTCCAGGCTACCCTCTCCATCTCCAGGTTATTAACTAAATCTCATTTGCCAAGTTTATAAGTTTCAGGGATTAAGACATGAACATCTTTGTGGGAGGGGGGACATTATTCTGCCCACTACAGACTAGTTGGGGAGATGGAGGCAGATGTATTGGATGTATGTAGGGCCTTTAAAATAATGAATATAAAGTCTATATAGCAACATGAGAAAGTGCTTACAATGCTATGTTTATCAAAAGAAGGAAAAAGCCTGTGAACCACATGACTGCAACATTTAAAAAGTGTGTGTAGACATATGAAAAAATAGTAAAGTTGTAACCGCATCAAGAAAGTGCCCTGGTTAAAGAAACGGGCAGGGGGTGTACAGGCCCTGAACACAGCAGCATACACTCCAAACAGGGCTTTGTCTCTAACTAAACTTCATTGATTCCCATGCCCCATTTGTGAAATTAGAATATGCGGTGGAGACTGTCTGAGTCCTGCCCTTTGCTGGGGAACTGCCACATACCTCAGCTGTTGGGAGAGTGACTGACAATGGCTCATAGCTTCGCTCTGAGAATGACCCTCCATGTTGAAGCACAGCCCAGGATGACTCTTAGGAATACAAAGGTTGGGGCCAGGCGCAGATGGCTCACTCCTGTAATCCCAGCACTTTGGGAGGCTGAGGCAGGTGGATCATAAGGTCAAGAGATTGAGACCCTCCTGGCCAACATGGTGAAATCCCATCTCTACCACAAAAATTAGCTGGGCGTGATGGTGCACACCAGTAGTCCCAGCAACTCGGGAGGCTGAAGCAGGAGAATTGCTTGAACCCACGAGGTGGAGATTGCAGTGAGCTGAGATCATGTCATTGCACTCCAGCCTGGCAACAGAGTGACACTCCCTCTCAAAAAAAAAAAAAGGAGTACAAAGGTCAGGACAGCTCTGCCTTTTATGCTCCAGAGCAAAAACCAAAGGCCTGACTTCACCTGACATCCTTGTTTGGCTCTTCCCCCTTCCTTATCAGGTTTCCTTCACTCTTCTGTGGTTCTTATCCTGAAGAACAGCCCAACCCCACTGCCCTCAGGCTCTGCCCCTCAGAAACCTTACCCGAGACAGGGTCCTCCCTGTATTGCTGCTCAACAGCGAGGGCTCCCAAAATGTGGTCCCCAGACCAGCAGCATCCACACGATGGGGGCACTTGTTAGAAATTCACATTCTTGTGTCTCACCTACTGCCCTGCAGACCTAGCAAATGAGGAGTTTTGAGGAGGTTCAGCCCTATGCTTTAGCAAGCATTCCCGGACATTTGGCACAGCCCACATCCAGGAGTGCTTGTTGATCTAAGACAACTAAAGACATCTTTTACAGATGGTGAGTCTGAAGCCCCAGAAGAGAATCTAATACTTTGATTCGAAAACCACTCCATGACTTTTAGAAAAATCACACCTAGTCTGTGGGCATGGAAATCTCAATGAGGCTTTTCATCAATGGTTTCACTTCAAACAAAACTGTCATAGAAAAAAAAAAAAAAAGTCATGAGAGCCAGCATGCTCTTATTTTGAAAGTAATTAAAAACCAGCCCAATTAGCTCCCCCAAAGTTATTGCTGGTTTATGACTCACTTGTGTTTGCTACCCAGGACGCGGGCCCTCTGTACCCAGGGAATGTGTGTGTTCACGAGTAGGTGTCAAGAGCTCTTCTCTCCTAAGATGATTGGAAGGATTGCATCCGCTGCTATCTCCATCAGCCTGAACCACACATCCAAAACCATTACCCACTTTGAGCACCTTCCCAGAGGCTACAACCACCATGAATGAACATACCACAAGGCCCTGAGTCAAGCACTTGAGAATCCCGGTTTCCTGCCTGGAGGGTGGTGTGTGTTTCAGCAACGGAATTCCACTGAGCAGGAATGTAGGCAGTGCTCAGGGCGTGTGGGGCCCTGAGCTGAGAGATAAAGGTATGCTCTCTTTTTCCAGCAACTC